ATATATATATATATGCATATACATAATAGAGTATATGCAATGCAATATATACAAGACAGTGCTGCCTTATAAACTGAGTTGCACTGTGCTGTGTTTCGCCTGCCTGCAGCTCCGCCCGCAGACCCCTTGGCGGATATTCCAAGGCTTCCTTCTGTATATTCTTCTGCAGGAGACGAAGGCTCCCTGAAGCAAGAAACATTGCAACTAATAAAATATAATAAAGCCTATTTGGACAGATATTTCAGGCTAATCATGCTGTGCAAGAGCCACCCTCAATATAAACAACAAGCAGCATTTTCGCTTTGGGTTGCTACAGGAAGGCGCAAGCTAAGTTAAGCAACAGTTTTAAAAATAAAGGGGAGGGTAAATGAGCTTGTTGTGTGGGATAGGGTTTCAGGGGGAGTTTGGAGTTTGTTTTATCTTGCGGCTGTGCAGACTAAGAGTGGGTTCAGTTGATCTTACGGAGTCAATGCTGAAGACTGCTGGCTGCCGCCTTTCTGTGCTTCCACATTGTTCTGAGTAGGAGTAAACGACAGCAAACGTAAACAGTTAAGCCTGTTGGCCGGTGCTGCCTCAGCTGTTCGCTGTTCGATACGTGCAGCAACGTGAGGCGTTTCAACAGTATTTGCACGGCTGCAGCAGTTTGCAGGCAGGCAGAGACCTACGGAGGTCAGAGAGCCGCCCTGAACCCCTTCCTCAGAGAAGAAATCATCATCGTCTTCTCCTTTGAGCTGCTGAACAGCTGGAGTGCATGCAAGAGGGCGGAGCAGCAACAGGAGGCCCACTACCACAGTGCGGTTGAGTTTCATTGCAGAGGGGCATTGAGGCCAGCAACGCCGAGAAAAGTCGGCGGTTACATTTGTCAGAAGTGGACGTATACACCTGAGCTCTATTTCTAGGGATTTCCAGAAGCCGTTCTCCTCGTTTTTCGCCAGAGTTCCTGAACGGGTTGGCGGGAAGAGGTGGTGAACGGGCTCGCTGCACCGTTGCAAGCTGCCGATACGCACCGATGCGCTGGTCAGCCTTTGCCCTTAAGGATAAAACATACATTCCTTTTGAAACCTTCAGGCATGCTGTTTTGCATGCTCTGAGCTGCCTTTTTCCGGGATCCGAGGAAGCCACCGACTGCACTGCACGCCGGGCGTGACCGGAGGAAACACGTGGCAATACACTCAAATAGCTGCAGCTCGTGGCCCTTTAAACAATCATAAAAAGTCGTTATACAACTGCAAACACCCAACAACGCGAATGAAACCGCAGACAAATGCAATGAAGCGCCTTGTTCAACTGAGTAACTTCACGCGACGGCCGGAGCGCCCCCGTCGAGAGGAAGAATCCACCTGTACGACTGAAAACAGGATGTATGAAGGACTCTCGTGAAAAACTCGAAGTCAATTCCCTCTTATAATCCAAACATTCAAGGGAAAACCTTCTTCCATTCAAACTTCACGGGATTCCCGGTCTGCACGGTAATGCGTTGGTGCGACCTCGGCCGAATCAGAACTAATTTTCGCGCCCATTGCGCCTGTAACGAACCAACAACTCAGCGTTTATTTAAAAAGTAAACACCAATTGCAGTGTTCAGTGTCTTTTAATCTAAATATCTAGAGGAGGGGAGAATTTCAGTCGTCTTACATTTTCCACTTCAGCGCCTTCGCTCCGTGCGAACACCCGTATGGGACATGTGGCGACACTAACAGACTCAACAAGGATACGGCAAACTGCAGCTTCCTTTGCTTTCTGCCCTCTTACAAACTAGCATAATACTATGGGATTGCCAGTGAATGAAAGGATTCCCAGTCTATAAAACCATTCACCTGACCAAGCTTCAGCTCGCACGGAAAATTAACAATACAAAAAATGAGACAGCCACCTTGCGTGTTCAGTGGTGGAAAAGGAAGACGGCTCCTCACCTCACCTCGCCACAAATACTACGAAAGGCTGGAGGGAGCCTCTATAGTCGCTGCCTTTGACCCTTCTTAGAGTCCTGCGGGCCTCCGCGTTTGATTGGCGGTCGGTGAGCACACAAATGCAGCACCGTAGCGACTGTCTGCCTGCTTCATATCTTCAATATACTCAGGATCTCGTCTAAACCCTGAACCCTAAACTCTAGCTAGACCTAGCTAAGCCCACCGAGCCTTAAGATTAGCTCAGCTGTCGGGAGCCCCCACGAGTGCCGCATTAAGGAAGTCGGCGGTGGAGAGGCCCTCGACCCGATTGAGTACATTCGCAAGCCTCTGAACGCTTTCTTCTGAGTCCTGCGTCTGTTCGTTGGGCCACTGGCCACCACCACCGCCTGCCAGAACCCCTTGTCGTCTCTGTGTCTCCTCCAGCTTGTTGAAAGTTGAGAGGAAATTAGGCATTTGCACGGAAGCTGTGTTGCGTTGATAGGGCTGAGAGGAGGCAGATTCAACTTGGGTCGTTTGTTTCTGCTCTTCTCCCCCTCCGTATACGTTGGCCCAGTAGTTCTGCCAGGCCGAGCAGTAGCTTTCTAGCGTTTGTCTGACGACCTCTTCTTCTGTTCCTCGTGATACTTCATTATTTGGCTGTACACATCTTCCTTCATCCCCCGTCTTTAATTTTTTTGTGATTTCTTCGCTTTCATTCTTGCGTTTCGCGTTGCCGTCCTGGTGCGCCCATTTGACTGTCAGGAGAGAGCCGTATTTTCCAAAGTTTTGATCAGCCATTGCAACTTTGGCGAATTCTGCTTGGACTCGGTATGCGTATGAGACGAAGCCGATGAGCTTTTTGGGTATAACACGTACACTTACGAGATCTCCCCATACACCGAAACTCTTCCATAGAAAGGCTTCTAAGGCGCGCAACCCATCCTCCTCCTTGGGGTCCACCTGAAGACCCCCAACGAAAAGAGTTTTGCACTCGTGATTGAAACTGCCAGCTCCCCCCATATCGTCTCGGTGATCTCTATGACGTTCGCGGCCAAATATATCTCGGCTCCACTCCAGTGTAGATTCATCTTCTAGAGTAGGAATGCGGTGCTTGTATCGACACTCGCTGCCTTTCGTGCAGCATCCTTTGGCAAAGAAGGCACAGAAATACCCCTCTGAGCTTCCAGGCTGCGTGTCTGCCAGAGTATACCCCGAGTCTAACTCAGGATCGCATCGGTATAAAGCCGCTTCTCTGTCGAGATGGCTCGTGCGGCTGTGTCGATCTGTAAGGTGGCGCCCGTACCAAATGTTGTATTCATTCTGCCCTTCAAGGTGACAAGTGTTCTCCAGCTCTGTTGCTTCCGCCTGACGCCGCGCAGGCCGCGTCAGCCACTGCTGCACCAACTCCCTCTTGCTATCACACAGCTGCGGGAGCTCACCTTCTCCTGGGCTCCCATGTTGTCCTCTTTGGTTGCTATAAGCGGCTAACTGCGCTGCATACTGAGCGTAAAACTCAGCGTAAGAAAGAACAGCTCCATCAGCAGCTCCAGGCAGCTGTTGCCCCGATTCCCCTGATAGAGCAGATGATGGAGGGCCCCCAGCGGCTGCTAAAGGCGCCTCTTCCTGAACGTCAGCTGAAGCTGAATCTGAAGCTGAAACCTCTTCTGAACGCAGTGGCGAGTCAACTGTAGAGGCACTAGGGAGGGGGTCTGGACAGGGGCCGCTGGGAGCAGGAGGATTTACAGGGCTTGTAGAGCGCTCTTGGTTGTAGTTGACTCCTGGAGACGCCACTGGCTTTCCTCCCTCCATCATCCAGCGGGCCTGCTGCTGTGGGTCCTCCAAGTTAAACCAACAACCCACGAATTCTGCTATGCGGCGTAAGGGGTTGGTGCGCCCTGTATGCAATCAGCGGGGAAGAATGAGAAGAAGCATTGCTCTCGTTTGAAAAGAAGAATAGGAAGAGGAAGAGCTTTATGAATATATAGCAGACAGAGAAAATCAGCCGCAGGTTATTGTGCCTGACACGATATATGCAGCGAGCTTACAGTGCCGACAAGCCTTCAGCCACCAGTAGATAAGCAACATAAACCAACGCCTAGGTGCAAATTCCGTCTAAACTCTAAATCGTTTTAAAAACACTTTTAACAAGCCAAATTTCCTTATTAAGAAGAAGAGAATGCTAAGAAGATTATAAAGAATCGCTTTTTGTACTAGATGCAACGAAACGCTCATCTGCTCACACAGCCCCATGCCGGAGTGCAACCGCCTGTGGAGAGCACAGCACTGGAACGGAAATATAGCAAATAAACTAAACAAAAAGCGACAGTAGAAAACAAAATAAATTAAAAGAATAAGAATACCACCCAAGTACAAAGGATGGATCTGTGCTGATCCTTCGAACTAAATAAAAGAGGCTGTCATGTTTTACACCCTGGTAACCTGTATTGTCTGCTTGGCATAGAAATACGCCTGGCGAAGGTATGGTTCTATTTATAGGATTTGATCTCGACTGTATTTAGGGAGATAACTGCAGCTATTTAATTACTTTTAGCCAAGAATACGAGGGAAAACAAGGTCGAGAGTACAAGAGTGCGTACAGTAACCATTGCCCTCAGCCTCAAAGTAGGAGACAAATGCAGCGAGCTGCAACTGAGTCGAAACACACAGGGAAGAAGCATCGCCCTAAACTAAATGCTGATGGCTACATCTCTTGCAGTCAGATGTGCAGAACACAACGGTAGATGATTTTTCGCGTGTTGTATATAGCATCCTGGGCTGCAGTTGCTATTCAATGTATTTCTGCTTTCGTACACAATCGACTGTTTACTGAGAGCCAAGAGGGAATTGTTTGGCATTTGGCCTTAGCGTTATCAATGCATGCAGTAGAGAAAGTCTTGGTACGCCTGTTTGCATGTGGAGGAGTTACAGCAAGGAGGTGTGCTGCAGCACATGGCAGAATGTAGGGGAAAAAATATCACACGCGAACGACATTGTAATATTCTTTCCGTATAATATGTATATGCATATATATCCATATATATGTATATATAGTTTAATGAATAGTGCATAATATATGGGGGGCTGACGGCACCGTCAGCAGCGGCAAGTTCCTTCTGTAGCAGCAGCATAGTAGTCTTCTTTGGCTGTGCCACTTCACAGAGCGTGGGGTATGCGGACTTAGAAAAATTTGGAGTGTATGCAGAGGGGCTTTCAAGCCCATCTTTGTGCTTATAGGGTATTGAAACCTCTTTAACGAGGAGCCTGAAGAGGGCCTTCTATTCTAGTAATATGTTCTCTTGCATCGACACGCGCATTATTCCAAACTTAAGTCTCACACTCAGACGACGCATTTCATCCATGCAGAATACACATATCTGTAATAGGCATAAATAGCAACACCAACTTTGCTGCTGGCAGCAATGAAACATCAACTCGCGTGCAAATACACGATCAAGTTGCTACCTGCTGCAGTATGGCGTGCACATCCGTGTTTTAATGCCTATCGTTTTGAAGGGCTGAGCAATCCTGTTTATGCACGGCGGCCTCCCTAGAGACTCAGACGAAAAACTTCTACAGTAGAGACGTAACTACTGTGAGACAAGGAAGGAGATCAAGGAGACGAAATGCTCCTTTGCCGATGTCTTGAAAAGAGGGTACGGCGCACTTGACAAGACAAAATATTATGAAGAAATTCCCCAAATGCGTCCAGAAGACAAAATTTACAGGGCCTAAGTTCGGCCATAGCGATTTACTTGGCTGGCTCGCTACGTATAAAGGAAGTGAGGAAAAACACACGAGAGACTTTCTGGATTTTAATTCTCAACAAGATTTCAATTTAATATTAACATTAGCGGCAAATTCTTTCGCTTTGATTACATTTATTAGTTGTCTTCCTTTCGATAATGCTGAAAAAAAGGTGTTGTTTGGCAGGAGGGGTAATTGATCTTCTCTAGGTAAATGCAATCTTATGCAACTTAAGATGGCTAGAAAAACGGAGTAAAAGAACAAAACAAATTAGGCATTAGGAAAAAACAGAAAGAAAACCTGCAGCAGCACTATGCTGTTGCAACTGCAGCGAAATACTCAGCCGCTCCTAATAACGAAATGCAAGAAACAAGCGGAAAACAACAACGGCAACAACAAAACGAGACAACAAAAACAGCAGGGGAAACAACGAAAAGCAGCATGAATAAAAACAAAAACAAAAGCAAAACCAGTAGGTGGGAGCAAATTCAGTCAACGAAGCGCATCGAAAGCTCTGCAAGGATTTAAAGGCTGAGTGAGGCTTCTAAATTTCAGGTACTCCGCATGCATCTGAAGAATTGGTTTTTGTTTTTCTGTTCAGTTATTAAATAAAAATACACGTTTCTTAATAATTCAGGCGTATAACACTGATTTTCCATCAGAGTTCAATAATAGATATGAGCTGCACAGCCAGCAGAGTACGATTCGCTCCAGCAGTGCATAGACTGCCTCAGCCCTTTAATTTAATTCAACGGAGGTGAAGTGGCTGCTTTTTGTGCCCAGTCGACCTGAGCATAGCGGGGAAGGAGAGGGGCCTGGGGCTGCTTATGGTGCGGGGAGGATGCAGAAGAGACGACAGAGCCCGTCATGTGCTGCAGCACACCTTCTTGCTGTAACTCCTGCTGAAAGGCGAAGGTCTCACATGCAAGCAGGTGTACGAAGAGTTTCATTACTGCGTGCGCTGCAGACAACTGCCAAACGCTTCCTTCTTGACCCATAGTAGATAGTCCAGGCTATATGCACGAAAAAATATATCGAATACTAACTTCAGACAGACAATCTTACGGGAGTGTAGTCTTCCAGTCTCTAGGCAGCAAACACTACAAGGGAACCCCAGCAAGCTTTTCAGCATCTTATCAGAATCATATTCGCTGTTCTTTCTTTCACCAGCAGTGGCACCTCGTTTCCTATTACCGACCCCGGCGTTTCTTCCGTGACATTGTTCAAAAAACCCACAGAATTGGTGCAATTCACTACCACAGAGGCAGCAACAACCGTATGCGTTCAGCTTAATACCTGTTACATCTATGCAGCTATCACTTGAACGCTTCGACGCTCTACTAACTCATCGCTGGAGCGTCCATGCTGAACTAGCCAGCAGTTCCCCATGCCTCCTTGCAGGTTTTTCCCCAGGTTGTTTCTATTGCTTAAAGAAGACTCTTCTAAACTAAGATTTTTGCTATCTGAACTCTTATAATGCCCTGGCTACTGGGTTCCTGTCTACGCAGACCGTGTAGTACGGGCGGCAGCGCTCGGTTTCCAAACTACGACGGAAACGGGAAGAACGAATTTTGGTTTCGGTAGCATATTCAAAGAAAATTGGCAGAAATTTTGTTTTTTACATTTTTGCGGCGAGCGCCTGAGAATTTCACTACGCATTCAAGGGACGCCTTCGTGCCGCGGTCATCGCCTCCGCATTTCAAGAGCCCCGGTGTCCACCTGGGGGACACACTGACGCTTTCGAAAACAAACTGGAAAATGTAGCACTAACTTCCAGCAAAATAAATGGGCGGAATCGTTTTGAACGAGTAGAAGGGGGCGAAAACCGTTTCTCGGCTTCCACGTGCGCTGGAGACCAGAGGACACGATCGCTCGTTACTGCTCCCCAGACGAGGCGTTTTTTCAATGACCTGAGCCCCAAAATAGGCAAATTTTCCAAAATAAAGGGGTTTTTTACACAATTTGGATTGTCAATTCTTAAAACGTTCCCCCAATCTTGCGCTCGTTCCGTTTCGCACCGCTGGTGGCTCGTTTCCTGGACCTGTCCCCTAATGCTCTCCCACTACGCCAGCTTGCCGAGTGTAAAAGCGAAGCTCCTCTGCATTGGAGGAAAAATAAGATTAAATACAAGAACGCTGATGGAAGGACGCTGAACCACATCTGGATTCTTTCCCTGGGGGGCGCTAGCGTGCCGCCCCTTCAGGACTGTGTGTGCCTCACTGGAGCCAAAGGGTGCGGGGGGTTCACGCTTCGATAGCTACAATGGGATCTTCGCATTCTACAAATCAAAGTATCAACTGTGGTCTTGTAGATGGCGACACAACGTCAGAATTCTGTAGATCGGGCAGCGCCGACGATGAAACAACCTTGCCAAATTTTGCCTCGTCTGAAGGAACTTCAGAAGGATCGGAGACAAACGACCCCCCACAAAAACTGCCTTGCGTTGACCAAACCCACTCACGGCACTCCGCTATTCTCATCTTTGACCTTGATGACACCCTCATCCCCACTGAATGGATAAGATCGTCTTTCGCGGTTCAGAAACATAAGCATGCAACTACAGATGAAGTATACCAAGTGAGTGGTGCCATGCTCTGGAAACAAGCTTGCACTTATTCGAGTGGTCGGAGCTCATCCAAGACCAAACAAACCGATGCAAACATGCGATTGTTTGCAGGCAATACGGGGAGAATTGGAGCGTCTCACATCAAATAAGTTGACTCCCTTCATCCTAAACACTTTGAAGAGGGCGAAAAAGTGGAGCGAGACGGTCGTAATCGTAACAAACGCAAGGAGCGTCAGATGGCTGTCAGCAATGAAATCCCTCTTTCCCGAGGTTGTGCAGCTTCTCCAGGATGAAAACATCCCTATCATTCGCTCCTGCCCAACTGGAGAAGAGCCAAGCATCCACGAAGCACCTGCATACTTTAGTTATTGGATGAATGCCAAGGTGAGCCTCTGCCCAACGCTATGCCAACTATAGAACAAGCTGCGGACTTTGAACAGGGTATGGTACTAGTGATGATGCTGATGCTAATTTTGTGGACCCAGAAAACCAAGTTCTTGGAGGTCATTCGCAATCACTTGCAAGTCAACTGTATCTCGCCAAGGAGAACGGTGGACCTGATTTCCATAGGAGACAATGACTTTGAAGAATACGCAGCATTGGTAAGGAGCTATGTATCTACCTATCGCATACGAAATTTGCGCCTGCGGATAGGGTGTAGTTGGCGATTAGGTAAGCAAAATGCTCCGCAGCTTCACCACTTGTCTGACTGCATGAAATGGGGTAAGGAACATTTTTGAGGCTGTATGTGCTTATCTTCAGCGCGCTGCCCATGAGCTACCAAACGTGCGACTTGCAAAAGTGGTCAAATGCCGTTCGGGATTAGAACCTCTACCTTTCTTGCATGTAAGCCCTCTATATATATGCACCAGGCTCGCCGGTTTGGCGTTTCGTCGACCGCACATTTCCTCCCATTGGACTACCCTCTCCAAAATAATCTGGTCCTGCATTGTTTTCTTCAGCAATTGAAAGAAATCATGCTTGCTATCGATCATATATTTGAAGAACGCATGCCGTGTGCGACTCGACGAGTTGGGGCAACAGTTACATACGCTATTCAGTGAGCTATCATCCTCTCTTTAAGCTGTTTCCGCCAAGTTGTAATGAGCGCCCCAATAGTTACGCATAGCCAACTTTCAGCCATGTGAATTTGTGCTCAGCGGGAGAAGGAAAACCCATTGACTCTTGCCCATGATCAACCAGAAGCGGCGCTCGGAAAGGGTGTCCCCGCAGTACTGCCGATGCTGCAGCACTTTTCTCGCTGTTGGGTGTTATCACCCCATAGGCGCTTCTGGCACTGCGAAGACCTAGAAACTCAGTGGTCGTCTCTCCGGGTGCTACAACTAGTTGAACTTCGGGACTCTAGAACTATGCACCAGCTACCGATTGATACACGGCGAATTATTCTAGCTTTTTGGTGGGGGTGTTGACAACTCTCCAGGTTGCCGGGTAGCATTGTTCAAAAAATATTTGCAATTGCTTGGTTTTGAATAATTCAGAGATCCCGCAGGATTAGATTCGTCATCGCCAAGACGATTAACGATATTTGGCAATCTCATCCTGTAGCCGCTTTGTGAACCTTGCGCTTCCATTTGGATATGTAACCGGCTTACTGAAATGACAGTGGCAGCGCATGCAAGATACGCAAGGCCGACAATGCTTGCGATCGTGAGCAGAACGGCGAGATGTGGAGTCTGACGAGGAGGAAGGCTACGCGCAGCGTGATCTTTCGTTTCGACTGCATTCGACTCAGGAGTCTACTTACATTTCTCCTGTCAGATGCTGAAAGAAAACGTTGAATGCTTTTCGAATAAATGTGTACTAAAAGCAACGTACTTGTCCAACCGCAATAACATCGGCCTCAAGTGCTCTTCCAGCGGATAGTTTGCTTCCGTTCTTTCTGAACTCCCTCAAGAGCCCGCTGTATGTCTGTGGTTGCCGTAATAAAATAGACGGTCAACTACCATCAGAGAATGAGATGCTTACCCTGAAGTTAACCTCAGGCTCGACTCCTGTCGACAGATATCACTTCATAATTCAGTATATTTTTAAGCGCTTAGTTTCGGGTTACGTGCCTTTCTTCCTGAAAGACAAAGGGGCTTATAGTCAATGCCGCTAAAGATGCTCCCCAGTTAAGCAACCTACCACTTGAGTGAAACATCTCCGTCGGAGGCAACATAGAGCAGTAGAAGACCATCGTGGCACTTGCTGTGTCCAAGTCCCCAACGATCTGAATGCAATTCGCCTTGCTTGCAAGGAAAAGAAACTACTGGTGTACTGTTGTCATACCAATCAGTTCAGTTGCGAATGTGTTCGCGTCGACGCCATAGGGCAGCTCTTGGACAATAGCGACCCCGAATCTGAATGCTTATAGTGCATGGCAGTTGCACTAAGCACAGAGGCGCCCAATCCTTACGGGTAAGAGACGTATTCATCAACACAACGGTGGGAGGAGTTGTGGCGGATGTTCGATAGGCGTTCTGAACAATAAGAACAATTGAATCAGAATCAATAACCAAGAATAGCGGTGAAAAGGCGCACCCTCAATCCTGTCCAATGTGTTGCTTGAGAAGACGTGGTCTAAGAAAATGTGAGCTTTAGCAGAGAATCTTCTAATAGCCGATGTCCGTCACACAGTACCTGGGTCACAGACGTAGGAAACTTCCATGCCCCATCTTCTGCAAGCCATTGTGTTGATCATTGGATTCGGGTAGTTTTCCAGTGTGGTGAATCCAGGCAACATATTTGCCGCGGGTGAACCCCTTTCGAATTCTTCAGTGAAATCATCTGGGGTGGGTTCCTCAGAAAGCAGCACCTTCTCAACTGACACGAGATTTATTCAAGAACTCGAGAAAGAAAAAAAAACAAACTAACCTGAAGTTGGCCATGCTGGCAACTTCAGCGCCTGATTTTCGCTCGAGAGCCAACCACGCGCCGAAGCAGGGACCGCCAGGCCTGCTAGAACTACTGCTGCTCTAATCATTGTCAGTATGAAGGATTTGTGAACAAATGTTGGAGCTGAGGGACAAAAAAGGCGGTAGTAGTTTCAATTGTGCCACAACTACGTGTAAGCGCATTTAGGCATCGTTGCAACTGTACGTACACTCCAACCTTCTTCGCCCCGAATGCTGTCAAACTGAAAGCCAGTTTTATTAAAAGTGGATTCAACCCACGACTTTCCCCAGTGGTCGTTCGTATTAGAAATTTCGCACAAATTCATCAATTGAAGGTTGTTTTCTTGGTGCTGGATGCGCAGAAATGAAGTATGGATAAAGCATATAACGTGGCACAACGCCTCCAAGCAACCACTGCTCCACCTAGGTTTGCCCGCGGAGAGAAACGAACTGGTACAAAAAAACGGATTCGAGACATCATTGGGTCTCTCGAAAGTTGGAATAATAGTGTGGCGCCCGACGCAACTAATCCTGACAAAAAAATTACTCTAAGTTGCAGCCCTGGGTGGATAACCGTGGACAAATTCCTGTAGCTCATGTGGCGCCATAGGAAAGCCCTCGTGCTTTCGGCGGGGCTCATCCTTCAGTTCGGCGTCTGCGGGGCACATCAAAGTAAAGGACTAATAATGCGTGACAACAGCCATTCCGACCTATGTTCTAGCGTCGTCTAGGGAGTAGCCAATTTACCTGTCCAGTTAGGGACGATTTTTGGCGGAACTGGTAGCCACCAAAGCCACCAGTGTCGACCGAAGACAGCTACGGAATGCTCCCATAGCGTAGTCTGCAGTTTTGATAAACACGCAAAAGCATCAGGCACTCCATGAGGAAATGCCAACTAGCTGCCTGCAATCCACTGAAAACCAAAAACCATCAAGTCTCACAACCTTTTGTGTACCTTTTGTCCGTGAGTATTCCTGTACGTTTCCACTAGAGTAGCGTTGGTTTCGAGAGCTTCCCACTGCTCTGCTAAGAAATCCTGGGACCAAGCAAAGACAGGAAGCGCCCGGGGTTATGATGAGGGGAGGCCAGATGCCAAGCCAAATTCAACCATAGACGGCAGCCTAGGCACTATGAAAGGCCAAACTAGGTCTCATGACCTACCAGTGTGATGAGTAGGAAAACCACGTCAATGAGTAAGCATGCCCCGAGCAGTACAGCAGCCAGCCATCCGGGATACGTTGACGTCCACTGCTCGACGAAAAGCTAATCGCAACAAAAAACAGTTGAACGCTTGCTGCGCTGCTAAGCAAGAGTGAGATACACAGCTTGCCGGGAACAAAGAAAGATCAGCCCTCACGCATCCCTATGCGTTCTTACAGTCCTGCGCTCAGGAGAAGCCATTAAGAACCTTCCGAGTCCGGAAAAGATAATGCCAATGTTGGAAAGACAAGAGAGAGCTGTTAACAGTCATCAAACAACACATGAACAAGGAACCTCAAAATGTTTTCCCAACACCCAGATAAAGTGCTCCGCAACTTTTCTGTGACGAGACTTCCTGCAAAGTAGGATGCGTTCAGTAACCGTCCGCACAGTTTCCGTTCGCCTGACGCACCCATGTAAGTGAGGAAAAGGAAGAAGTACTTTTGATTCATGCAGCCGATGCAGTTGTTTACCCAGGGGCAGTGATGATCCATCTTCATGATGCACCTGAAAACCCCCCGAGCGAAAGCAGTAAGGATAAGCTGAATTCGATTTCAAAACTATTTTGAGTGAGGGTTTATTTATGTGTCACCAGTGGGAATAACTAAGGCGGATCAAACGCACGACGAACTCTCCCTTCCCAGTAGACGGCTTACTCCTTGCAGACTTTGCAATGATGAGCGCGAGGCGGCTTCCACCGGTTTTTACACTTGGCGCAATAATTAGTTTGCCCCTTGAAATCCTTCGGCGGGGTTGACTGCAGCACCCATCAACAGATAATGTAGGCATTCCCCTGGTGAGCCTCTTCACTCCGTTCCGATACCACATAGCTTCCAGTGAATGTTGCAACGAAAGCGCTACCAGATGACGCACCGGAGCTTTCTTTGTCGAGCCAGGATCCGCAAAAAGCGTGGCAAGATGAGACAAAAGCCCTAGCCAGGTCACGCACTCAAAAACTACCTTGAGGATGTTTCCGATAAAGGTAAGCGGCGGCCTCCCTGAAAAAAAAAAGTACAAGAAGATTCAGAGTTCGTGAATAGGATCTAAGAATACGTTTATACTTTTACCTCAGGCAATGCAGTGCACAGTGAATCATTACTAGCTGCTCATAGCGTTTGACGCGGTTTCCCTCTCTTCGTGAGGATAGTGCAGCAATTTGAGTGCTTGACGCCCCAACATAATCATCATTTCAGGTTGAGGTAACGAAGAGCCCAAGCACAGGGGAATTAACAACACAGCAAACCTGCAACTCACCCCCCGGCGCTTCCCGGAAACTGGGCGACTCTTCCGCAGTGGACACATCTGCGAAGGCGACGTTGAAGAAGAGAATATTCGTGGCGGTCTTCACTACTAGCCAACAGAACCAGACGAAAACGCATGCAGCGATGCCTCCTGGGTGCAACAAGAAGCGCATCCTGCTATATCCTTGTTCTGTCCTGTGCGGACAGAGCACTTGTGTTTTGGTTGAACAGCCTCAGCAGTCCACTTCTCTTGGTGACGACGAGTAGAGAAAAAGACGAATTATAACGCAGAAGGTGCTTCTCCATGAGCGCAGTCTCTGTCACCTTCACAACTTGGCGTCCAGGAAAGCAGCCGGCACCGTTGCAAGTTGCCCCTCCGCCGCAGGAGGAAGGCTGATCCTCCGGTGATCCCCTGAAAATAAGAAAGATTAGGCGTCTAACATAAGCGTTAGGCTTTTTCAAATGCCTTCTTCCTTTCAATGAACTCCATGCCGGGCAAATTCTGTAGAGGGAGGCCCGAAACACCTCACCGGGCTTAACACACGGCCCGAACGGTTTCGTGTCTTCGCGTTTACTACAAAGCGTCCAGTCAGATATTACGATTTTAATCCATTTATTTGCAGTGCAGAATGGAAAACGACTACGGTTGCCTCGGTCGGCTCGCCTTGCACGCGTTGAGCTACGTTTCAAGTTGGCCGCGTGTAGCCTCCTTCCTATTTCAGGTTTCCGATGAAACTCCTGCCGCAGAAGTCCCTATTTCCCAAAAAGGACAGTGGAAATGTGTTTTCAACAGTCGTGATCAAGAAGAGAAGGAAAATACTTGTTTCCTTTACTTCATTTCAAATGCGACGGAGGCGTAGCCACCAACCCTGCATGCGACCATTTTGGAGCAAGACTGGGCCTCGAGCAGCGTTTAGCCTTCTTGCTTTCTAAATTATTTCACTGAAGAAGCGTTATCCACATAAGCCGTCTTATTTTGTTTCAAGCCCAACATACAGCGTATTGGTGGGGGTTGCCTTGTCTGCAGGCAGCCGTGCAGGAGGAGTTATTTGCGGGAAACTCTCCAACCTTTTAGGCGTAATCGCTTCTATTACATCCCAACGATGCGTGGGAAGAGATATGTCTTCTGATTAATTGGCTTTATTATTAGACTCCTTCAACATTAACATGAAAACTTAGGCCTTAAAGGTTCTTGAATAACGACTAACATGCAGCGATGACGATGGCCTCGCGCTGTGGCGCCTCCTGCGCCACTTGGCAGATCTCTGTGTTGAACGTCGGCTTTAAAGACAGCAGAAGAACATCTTCTTATTATTTCTCACGTTCAATTCAACGCAACCTTTGCCCGCCCCGTTTGCCTGTTCCTGCTTCTCTGCATTGCGGTCGTTTGCATGCAGGGATTCCTCTTTCTTTTCCTTCCCTACTGTCAACGACGAGGCGGTATATAGACCGCTGGCCAGTGGTTGTTTCTTCTTCAGGGCATCAAGCTGCTGCTGCTGCTGCGAGAGCTGCTGCTGTTGCTGCTGAGAGAGCTCCATCTTTATATAGCACGCCTCTCCACCCAGCAAGCTACAGACTGCAGCTCCTGAGATCAAAAGAGCGGCAGACTGCGGGGGTTAGTATTTTCTGCCTGTCTTCCCGCAGTCTTCATTCCGTTGCTGGCGATGCGCAGGCTGAGGCTGCGCCTACCACCTCAGTCGCTGCCTCTGCTGGCGTTCAAAGCGAAGGGGATATGCCTTTGCATGCAAACCCTTCAACCGAAACGGCTGTACTAAAGACAGAACCTGCTGAAGGCTCATACGCCCAGGAGCTGTTTCAACATATTCAAAATGCAGTGAGTTCAGTAGGGCCTCCTTACCTTTGCCTCAGTGCACTAGAGAAGTTTATGTATGGCTTGCAACGCATCAAGACCCGCGCATACTGCATGCACGCATATGTGCGCAGAAGATCGCATAGAAAAAGAATAAAGAATGCATTGAATGTAAGAAGGGAAGAAAGGGGTTTCTATGCTCTGTTGTCTCTCCTCTTTTGCTACAGACAGACGGAGCAACGGCCGCTGCAGAGGCTTCTTCTTCTTCTAGTTGGTTTATAGATTGGCTTCTGGCCCTCAAACTTGGCCTGGGCCTGCAGTGGTGAGCAGTGTGATGATGAAACGTGAGGAAGTTTAGGAGATGTCTTTCTTTATTCTCTCTACCCGTCTGTCTACTCAATCCTTTGTTTGTTTAGGATGTAGAAGCAACTCGCTGCATGCATGCATACATGCATGCACTCGCTGCATGCATGCATGCATGCATTACTTCTTGGTTTTCTTTTCTTTTGGGTTTGTGCTGCTGCGCAGGTGTTGGGCTCTGCCTGCTGCAGGCTGTTTGCTGCGCCTTGTGACGCTACCCGTTGCAATCGATTCAGTAAGCAAGCATCGTTCCTCTAAGACAAAGACAAGACATACTTTAATGCATGCATGCCTGCATGCCTGCCTGCCTGCATGCATGCCTGCATGCATGGGTTCGAGGTGCTTCTCCTGTTAGTGAGTCTGCTGTGCAGGAGAGAGACCGAAGACAGCGTCAATTGATCGATCCGCAGTTTTCAAGAATGAAGGAAAAGATGAAGGCGGCATATGAAGCGGGTGTGAGTATTATGTGTATCTTCCTCTTACTTACTTTCTTTTTCTTATCTTTGTTTGCTTCTTGTGGAGGTTCATTCATTTCGAGGCCTTTGTCTACTCTTTCCCTCTTCTAAACTGAACCGTCAATACACCTCAGCCACGGCACTGCAAAGCGAAGAAACAGAAACCAGACGATTATTTTTTATTCCTGCTTTCATCTGGGGGCTCTCCTTAGCGTCTCTCCGGTTTTATATTGGCAGCAGCAGCGTTCTATGTTGAGTTGTCATCTATCTGTTTTCTAGATGAAGTTATTTTAATTGTTTACGCGCCCTTCAGAATACTGAAGAATACCAACGACTGAGAATGGAGACCAAACAATTGCTTAAAAAACACCAAGTCGGCGTCCTCCCCACTTCTTTCTTTCATATGCTTCTTCTGGGGATAGCCATTTCTCTTTCAACACCCGCCATTAGGTAATATATATATATATATGCATATATGAGTTGCATGTATATGCATGGATATTTTTCTGTGCGTGTATACACA